AATCATCATTCTTGTGGCAGTAGAAGACAAACATAACCTGATCAAAGAGAGAGCTGTTCACTGAGCAGTTTTGGTATATAATTTGGATTTAAAAGCTTAATTCTGTTCAATTACAAATGAATGTTTCATAATGGCTCATATATGATTTTTGATGTGATTTTTTTTAAAAAGCTACCCTCCTCCCCCCCCCCCCCCCCCAATCCAAAAACAAGCCCAAGGCATTATTCGATTTGAAACTGGAGTAATAAGTCAAGTATTTGTGTATTTTTCTGATTAAATGTGCAAATAATTCATCTTGGGTTCCAAGCATTTGCTACACCAATAAATCTTCAACCCTGTATATTTTGGCAGTAGAGTTGAACCGTGCTATAACTTAATTTTAATAATATCTCCATGTGGGTTCTCTGAATTCTTTTTTTCCATCACTTCCCACTTTGGGGCTATAGATGGTCTTTGCTGGAACTGCACAATTTTTGTTATCTTTTGATGCTGATGCATCTGCATGGTTCATGACCAAGAGGACACTGAAGTTCACAAGAAGGGAACACGAAGTTTCCATGACGAGCATTTACTATGTAAATATAATGTGCGGCCTTGTATCTGCAAACAAGACTTGGTTGTGCCAAACGTTAGTTCAGGACTCAACATTTCAAAAGAAAATCTTCCTCTAACAGTTTATTTTAAAAAGTAATATATTCTCGTCCATGCCAACCAACCCCCACCCACCAACAAAGCTTCTCCTGGGGTTACAATCAATGCGGCTTCGAAACCATGAAAGCACACTCTCTCCAGCGCTAACTCTGGTTTTGTTCGCCTCCACCCGTCCCTCCTTCCCTCCATGTCAGCCTGGCTCTTGTGATAACCGTCTCATCTCTGTGTCAGAATATTGTGGGTGTAAGCCCCACACTGGAATTTGAGTTTTACGAGGCTGGCACTAGGGTTTGGCTGCTTTTCTGAAAGTGCTGCACTTTGGATGAGGGGAAGATGAAGTTAAATGGAAATCCCATCTGCCTATCCTCGGGTGAGCACAGTGGATCCCATGAGGCTATTTAACAGTATTCTTTTAGGAGTGTACCACTGTATAAATTTGATGTGCAGGGTAATCAGCTTAGCAACGGAGCAACATTCAGAAAGAGCCTTTGACAAAGATTTGTGTCATCGTTTCCTTTCCAGGTGGGTTACACCCAGAAGAAGATCGGGTGATGTGTGTACTGCCCCTAATTTTCCAGCACAGCCCCTTTATAGTGGGTATAAGGATGCTGGATGGAACTATCTGGCACATACAGTGCCAGATAGTTCACATGTCTTATTTCAGCCTTAAATTCCACTCACTTCCAGTGCTGCAGAATTTCCAAACATTGATAACTGCTAATGTCTCTCTAAATGAGATTTGGTCACCAATCCAAACAAACTATTACAAAGGAAAACTTGTTTCACTGAACTATGGACACTGTTGTTAGCAGGCTATTAAACATTACCTCTATTCAGAAGAAAAGTGTACAACTTGGAAGTTGATATTGAGATGAAGTCGGACAAATAGAACATTCATTCTGCTGGTTGAAAGAGTTGGAAGGACGATTTCGATCAACTCTACTCCAGGCAAAAACTTACACTTATTTTGAGAACAAATATGACCTTTTAAACACTGGTTACAAAGCAAATGCTTTTGAGTCCACACCAGCCTTGCATATATATTGATATAAAGCAGACCAGTACTTGTTAGATTAGAATAGAATAAATGAACAATGAATCTATTATAACTGGGGTGCAAAATTAGACTTATGAGATGTAAATCAACACTGATATCGGCTTAAAACCTAGAGCTTTTACCAAGAGCTATTTTGGGAAACATTTAGTTAGAAATACTTTTGATACCCAAACTATTTTGTTGAATCCTTTTAAAATATCCAACACAGTGATTGCATGAGGGATCTTGATTCACAGTAAACATGGTTATTACTTCTGTGTCAGCGCGGTAAGTTTATTCAGAACTGGGAGCTGTATGAATGTACAATTCAGTTTCTGTTTATCACTGTAACTGTGTCTAATCGAAGAAAGCTGACTAAAATAAGGTCCGCCCTTGTCTGGGTTGGAAAGGCTGTCAGTGCCAGCAGTGAGTCTGAGTTTGGCTTTGCTGTTTCCAGTTTAATGTAGTGGAAAGAAGTGGTCGGCGTGGCCTTTTTTTAAAAAAAACCTCTTTGATACCAGTCTAAGTGCCAAGCCCTCTGCCCCTCCCCATGCCAGCACCATACCAGCATTTGGGTGCCTTTACAACAACTTTATTGGTACTGTGGCTCTTCTGCTAGTTAAAACTCAAGGAAACTTGTTCCCATAGTTCTTTCCATTGCCCCCCCCCCTTTTCCTGCAAGCAGGCCTTCAGGCTGGGGTGTGGTTTCCTTGATCACAGCCTCTCTTGGATGACTCACCCAAGAGTCCGATCTTCACGTAAGAGTGTTGGTGATGAGTGCTGTCGGCTATTCAATGGCCAGAGCCTCACAGCCAAGCTCGGGTCCTGCTGTGCGCAATTGGCTGCCGCGCTTCGTCCGCAAAATATACCGTCAATTCACTTCACAGTATATTCTGTGAAGCACTTTGAGATGTCCCGAATACATGATAAGGCACGATATCAAATGCAAGAATTATTATTATGTTCCATCAGGATCCATTGTGCAGCAAGCAGGAATGAGAAGCCTGGCTTATGGACTTACACCTCATCCACCAACTCCCTACCACCAATCAGTTTATTCAGCAAAGACTAGTAATCTTTCTGCTCCTTGTGCCTCAATTCCCTGTGATGTACTGTATTTACCTACTGAGTCGTCATTGGGAGTCCTTAATAATTTATTTTCGAACACTTATTTTCCCCCTCAACACCGATAAATAAATTCATAAAACTTCTTGCCACAGGCACAGCGAGCAGTGAAAAAGGTTGAGGCTTTTTTTGAACTGGTCATGTAATGAATACCAATATTGCTTTCTCCTCTGCTCTGTCAATCTAACAGACCAGATGTTTCACGAATATGATAGTCCTAGGTCTGAAAGTGTGCTCTGATATCTTGTTACGCTGCAGCTTGTGTAACGATATTCCATGCTTACAAAGTATCTTATGAGATTGTGTGTATGAAATTGATCAAAGTGCCTTGTTAAAAATGTACTTCAAAGTGGACACTGAGGGCACAAGCCCACGTGTGCAATATTAGGCATAAGGTGAGGCATTGCATATCTGTGATGAGTTGCCAGAACAGCAAGTGACATGCGGGCAATCCAAGAAAATACATTTTTTTAAAAAAAAAGCTCTGCTGTGTTTGTTTCATTCTGGATTACGTTTGACCTTTGTGTGTCTGTGGTGATTTGTGGGTTGGAGAAATAGCTGTAACAAGGAGGATAGTAAAACATAGGATGGAGGCGAACGCTGAACTTGAGAGAACTTTGTTAAAGTAAATATTGACTTGAATTCTAATGTATAAACCATTTCTGGTTTATTCCAGGACTAATTTATATTGTTTTCAGGTTGGTAAAATGAGTAGAAATGTAAAATTGACACATTTTTATTTGTTTTTAAAGTGGAGTGCTTTGTTTAAACAACTCATTCCAATGTTGTTCAATGCCAGTACTGTATTTGTATTATAAGTGAGAAGTTGGTATTGCACTGTGTGTTTATGCAGGCATCCAGATATTTAAAATATTTTCAAAACTTAAATTTGTTTAAGATACACTTCTAAAAACACCAAAATCTGCTTTTGTTCCATTCTGAGCTTCTTGGGGCCTGATATGCAGTAAATGTACAATTAAAAAAAATTGATTAACCTGTATTATTTACATAACAATTTTAAAGTATTGCATATTTTGCGTCTATTTGCATATTGCACTCAATATTCATATAGAGAAAATCGCGTTGAATAAAATGGCAGGTCACAGTATTTATCTATTTCTCCTTCCTTATCATTAGTAGTTTCATAGTTAAAGGTGCAAACGAATGTTTTTAAAAAGTTTTTTGGGGTTTTGAAGGTGTAATAAGGTGTCAACCTATAATAATAATAATAATAATAATAATCCTTGCATTTGATATAGCGATTATCAAGTCTTCTAGACAGCTCAAAGCGCTTCACAGAATATACTGTAAAATGAATTCGACATATATATATATAGAATAGATTGAAATATGTAAATGATGACGCATATCTGATCTCAGCCTGACCTGATGGGTTTGAAGTGCTCCTCTTGAGAAATACGGGACAAATTGGAAGGCGAGTCAAACGCTATGAAGATGACATCTCGTATCATGGTTTAGACTGGAGAACATTAATGTCCCAGAGCAGGTTCTCCTCCCCTTTAATAAGTGTTTAGATTTAAACCCACAGAATGGAGGGGAATTAGAGTGAATGACACTGTGGGGGGAAACATTAAGTTTAAGCGGTTTCCCCCTCTGCGTATTCCACGGATTTTCATATTGCTATTTTGCCTAAGCAAAGTTTAGAAATGTGTTTATACACAGAGCACATTCTGGAGTAGCTGCCAGCACAGGGAGAGAACAAAGTATCGCACACTTCAGATGAGTTGAATTGATGGGAACAGCTGGCCGGAATATCTTTAAATGAAAGGTTTTAATTAAGACCATTGCATTCTTCAGTGATAATGGCCCTTGTGTTTTAGGGCTAAACCACTGGCTGGGCCGCGCGACACTGTTTTCATTCTTTCATTCTACAGTTTGACTTGGCTGGAAAAAGGCATGAAATTTGACCATGTGCAGTCATTATTTACAGGCCCTGGGGAGCTGGGCTTTTGTATTTGGTGAAGGGGGAAGTTCCCCCCCTCTGGTTTGAGATAACACGGAACTTATTTTAAGTTTGCATTTTATTCCCGTCGAACTCTTGTACACTTTTTACTTACGAGTTTTTTTAAAAAAAGTGTAATGTTAAAATATATATTATACACACATATGTATATATATATATACGTGTGTGTTTTTTTTGTTAAATGCGCTCCTTTCGGGGGCGCGACTGTGTGTTTCAAATCAGGAGCCAAGTGGAGCAGCTCAACTCTTGTTTGTGGGGATGAGAAGTGGGCAGGAAAGGGAAAAGCTGTGCAGTCTAATCAGAGACAGTGTGCACAATATGTGTGATTTATGAAAGGCGTTTCTGCCCAGTTAGAGAGAGAGAGAGAGAGAGAGGGAGAGAAGAGAGAGAGAGAGAGAGAGAGAGTCTACAGCTCAGTGACTGCTTCCAAACTCTCCTCCAGCCCAGCTTTGGGTGGGGGAATTCTTTTCAAAAATTGTTCCTTTTTTTTTAAAAAAAAGTAGCCCAAGAGAGAGAGAGAGAGAGAGAGAGAGAAAGAGAGAAAGAGAGGAAGTTCAGAAGCAAATCTGTGCATCCGATCCACGGAGTGGAGTGGCCCTGCGGTGATCCTGGATTGATGGCAAAAGTGAGATCCAGTTTAAGCAGATGAGGAGTTGGGTTTTGCACAGAGAAGGGGAAGGAAGCATCATTCAAGGGGATGGACGTGGCGGGGCTGTGGGTGCAGTTAGTCTGCAGTGGAGCACAGCAGGTCGTGTAGTGGACTCCAGTTTTATTACCATTATTATTATTATTATTATTATTATTGTTGGTCTTCGTCTCGTCACCTCCTGGACGCAGTTCTCAGGCTGTGGGGACCGTTGTTTGCCGACGTTAATTATTCCCCAGTCGTGTGGCTTAATTAAAGGCAGAGAAGCAGAGCAGAGGCACTCTCTCTCTCCCTCTCTCTCTCTCTCTCTCTCTCCACCCCTCCCTCCCTCCTGTCTTGTCCTGAGGAGTTTGCAGAAGGCTATCACAGAATACCCCCCCAACTCTCTCTCTCCTCTCTCGCTCTCTTTCGTAAAGGAACATTGTTGCTGCGTGGGGTGGGGTGTGGGGGGGGGGGGGGGGTGGGAGGGGGGGTGGGAGGAGGGGGCAACAAAAATATCATTCAGTCTGGATTTCATCATCAGGCTCCTGTCTACCAACATGAGGCTGAAGAGGAATGGGTCGTACACGTTGCACAGGTACAGTTAGTTCCTAATCCCGAGGCTTTGACTTGTCTTGTTAATATCAACCCCCCCCCCCTCCCCCATCCACCCCCACCACACCCAGTCTCCTTTTAAAAAGAAAATTGAGGGAGGAGGAGAAGTGTGGGGGTTGGGGTGGGGGTTGGGGGGGGGCTGCAAAAAAAAAACCAGAGCAGATGTGAGATTAGCATTTATTCCGATCTTCTTTGAATCCACTCCCAAACCAGAGTCAACACACGCAGATGCTCTGTGTTGTGTGTGTCTGTCTCTCTCTCTCTGTGTGTGTTGTGTGTGTCTGTCTCTCTCTCTCTGTGTTGTGTGTGTCTGTCTCTCTCTCTCTGTGTTGTGTGTGTCTGTGTCTCTCTCTCTGTGTTGTGTGTGTCTGTCTCTCTCTCTCTGTGTGTGTGTGTCTGTGTTTGCAGTCTGAGCTCAGTCTGCCTTCATGTCCAGGTTAAAGCCATCTCAGGCTGCAGCAGATGACCTCTCGTGTGTGTTTTCTAGTGCATGAGAGATCTCTTCTCTTGTCTCCCCCCCACACACCCCTTCCCCTTTCTTCCTTTCTTTTTTTCCACACACTGCGTAAATCGGTGTGTGTGTGTGTGTGTGTTTGGTGTTGTGCTGTGTGTGTGTGTGTGTGCGATCCTCTGGGCAGAGCAGGCGAGGAGGAAGTTAGTGCAGATCTCAGGAGCAGCAGCAGCAGCAGCAGCAGCATGTGAGGAGCACCAGAGGGGGGAGAGACACAGAGAGAGAGAGAGAGAGAGAGAAGCTCTCAACCTGCAACTCCAATGGACATCCTGTTTTGCCTCGATTGCGTCTTGTTTAGGTATTGTACCCTGATCGGGATTGTGCTTTGTCATCTTGCTTTCTCATCCATGGTGGGCGCAGCTTTTAACTTTCTGATTTCTGTTGGATAGTCTGTGGTGTCTGTCTGTGTGTGTGTGTGTGTGTGATTGTAGGTGTGTGATTGTAGGTGTGTGTGTGTGTGTGTGTAGTTTTTCAGCAGTTGCCCTTTCACGTACATATGACGCAATTCACAGAGCACTGGTAAATCACTGGCCCTGGACAGTTCTTGCATAAGGACAGTTCCTTGCTTTACATAAGGTTGCTTCGCCTGATATGGCTGTACCGCAGCTGATTGTGCTGGAGGGACTAAGACTAACTCCATCCCCCAGTGCCTTCGCCTTACTTTCTCCCTTTCCTCCTTCAAGGCCGGTCGCGAGACCTTTCTCTTTGACCGTGCCTTCAGCTCCCCTCTCGACTCTCTAGCCCCACTCCTCACTCCCTCCCCTTGACCATTTCCCCACCTGCTCGGATCCCGACCCAACTGTCCAGCGCCTTGGGACGTCCTCCCGACGTGAAAGGCGCTCTATAAATGCAATCTTGTTGTTGTAAGTTTGCCGTCTGCCCTTATTTGAGGCGAAGCTAACACTGTGGGCCAGTGTTGGATGCCTGGGTTGTTGCCATTTCATGTGCTGCATTATATCCCAGAGATTTTAGTGTTAAGCTAATTTGTATCGCACCACTGACAGTACTGCAGCATTCAGTTCTTACACAATTCCTGGCTACCCCTGACTAGAAAGAACATTGTTCATACAGTGAGTGTTAATGTGGGTAAACTGCTGCAGTTGGTGTGGATTAGATGATTATGCTAAACGAAGATGATTTCATCTTGAATAATTGGAGTTGTAAAATGGGTTTATGTTTTGTGTGCCTCATGTTGTTACCTGTACAGCAATGTGAAGAACTAAATTGAACTTTAATACAGTGAAGCTCCTCCAGGTACAATTGGAAACACAACCAGTAAATGGATTTCCAGTTAAACTTTTTGAAGAACATGTAACAAGAACACCAATATAATGTTGTTGCCGTAGGAACCAAGATATGATTGATTTTATACAAAGGACCAGTAAATGTGTGATGCTTTTATTCTTGGCTTTTCCCCCTCTCCTCTTAGGTAGAGGTGTACAGTGGAAGACCATGGAAGTAGATCAAAAGTTCAAGTATTTAAGGAACTGAATGATTTGACGTGATGATTAACTTTCATCTAAGTTAGTATATACTTCATGCTCTTTCCCGATGCCCAAACCACACCTTGGTGTCCATAAAAGTATTGCATGTGTATGTGTTTGCATGCGGATGGAATACTTGACCAATCATTACTGTAAATCATAAGTCGAAATGCAGGGACTGGAATGTAAATTGCTGCCCACATGCCTGTGTCTTGTGAATGTTAGACTGCCCTCATCTGTCTCTCCCCTCAGGACAAAATCCAGGTTGTGTAACACGGGAGGCTGCAAACAGCAGAAAACTAAGCATATGTAATGTTTGTCTGGAACAAAACATTGATGAAAATACATGGGCTGTATCATGAATCTTGAGTTATTAAATAATTTGAATTGTAGTTTGTAACAACTTGCAGAAGTGGTGAGGAGCATAATCTAGATTGATTAAAAGTCCTGTACTTAGTCATTGTAATAAAGTAATTGAGCAGAAATCCAAGTCAATTAGATTGTTTTTTTAGAAATATTACAGACTGGTCCTTTGGTGGTTTTGGGCTCCAAACTCTCATCAAATCAAGTATACAGGTATCTTAAAAGAACAGTATTGCCTTGGGAAGAATCCATTTTGGATACTGCAGCTAATATTGCTAATAAAACATAAACCTGTTTTACAACTGCATTTATTCTTATATATTAATGGAGTCAACATCACCATCATTATTGTAGCATGCAACTACCAGGATGGTAGAAGGCGAACTGGATGGACTTTGGTCTTTTTTCATCTAGTAATTCCTATGTTTCTATATTGCTTATTGTATCACCATTAAATTGACAGCCTAACTTGATGTTGAAAATTAGGAGCTTACCCAATTGGTACAAGATCAACAACTGGCATTTATGTAGCGGCTTTCAGTAGGAAAACATTTTGGGGGGCTTCACAAGTAAAAAGTCGGACATTGAGGAAGGGAAAAAGAGGGAGGTGGCAAACACGCTCAAGGAACAGTGTTGATATTCATTATGAATTTGCAATTTCTGATAACCAAATTCTCTAACTGTAGAAGTTCAGAGGTTGGTCTAAGTTTTTTTTAAAAAAAGGATGGTGGTGTTTTGCTAATGAAATCTGCCCGCAGAGTTGCACTGAGTTTTGTCTTAATTGAATGGCTAAGCAGAGGACCTGTGTCAGTGGAATGTACAACCTTGGGGAATGGGAGCAGGAACATTCTGTCTTGCCTTGTTCCAAGGATGACTACTTTTGACTGCCCCAAATCTTCAGTTATTTTTCTTTCTCTCTGCTCCCCACCAATCCCCCCCCCCGCGCCCACACATACACACACATGAATGCATATTATATAGTGGATGCCATGACAAATAATCCAACTATAACTGACAATAAAAAAAGCCCAAATCAAAAAATAATCCTTCTGTTGGGAATTTTAATCGGTGATCAACAAAATACTTGGTTGATTGTGAACTGGACTTATTGTACCAATGTGGCATATTTTGAAAGAATTTAGGCTTCGCTAGTTTAAGAAAAAGAGAGTTCTATACCCGCTTTGGTGCATTAAAAACACAAAATGTAGTCCTTTGTAGCAAGTATGGAGTTAAATCTCAGAAAAGGAGGGAAGTGGGCAATCTTTGTCTTATCCCATCAAACCTCATTAGTTTTTTTTNCTGGTTGAAGCCATTTCTTGTGTTTAGCCTGATACCAATCACTGTAGGGTTGAAACCAGAGTGCGATCTGCTATTTCCCGGCGCAAACTTAATATGACTTGTCATAAAGAGTTGCATGAAATCTCAGCAGAACCAAATAAAAAGCCTAAGAATTTGATTATTTCAATAATTTTAAAAATAAATTCCAGCTCAGCCAAAAAAGTCTACATCTTGTCTGCATTACAAATATATATTCGAGAAGCGATGACACAAGAATCTATAACTGTGTTGCCATATGCAACTTACATTTATATTTAGAGGTGGCTGATATATTTTTGTGCAGTTATGGGAGAAGGGAGGCAGTACTTATGGAAGTCTGTCTTTCCCTAAAGTTTTGCGGTTACTAGGAATGCAGGGCTGTCTACATTGATTCTTTTTACGAGATCCAGAATGGGCTCTGTATGTTCAGCTATTAAAACTAAAGACGCTGTGTTCTGTCTGCTTCCCCAAAGAGGCCATGTTTAAAAAGGAATTAATGAATGGAACTGTGTATGTCGAATTTAAACAAAACACAAGCAGTTTTGGCTGTGTTGAAGTACACTCGTCTGTTGATTAGCCAGTTTAGGTTGCTTAACTGATTTGCATTCATAATATAAACACAACATAACAAGAAAATCAATACCAGGTGTATTAACAGTGGTTTCTGTACAGCCTTCGATTACTAATTTTTAGGCCCTCCTGTCTGTTGTGCATACTAGAAAATTTTGAATGTTGTGTCATCTCTTGGAAAACAGTACTATAATGTTTAGACAAACGATATGCTTGTCATAAGGTATTACTATATCTTAATCTATATACAGTGTAGAATTCTAACTCACTTTCAGGCAATTCTTCGTGTAATTGGGTGTGAGTAGGGGGGAAAGAGAGGTAGATGCAGTGTGATGCAATGAATTTGGGATGAAACTGGTTTCATAAACTTATTCTCTTCAACCATTCTGTAGTCTCGCATATAATTGTAATTATTTTGTTTATCGGGCCTAATTCCGCACTTGGGATCATTTCACATAACTGCAACCAAAATGACACAACACCACCTTTCTTGCAATCTAGTTCCTCTTCACTTACTGCTGTTGGTGCATTAAGTGACTTCACGCAATGTTGATGGTTTCTGAAATGGAACACCATGATGTGCACCTTACAATTGCGCTGAATTGAACGTTGGTTGAGTCAGCAATCAACTCGGCCTGCACCAGTGGTAGTAGTAATGATAATAGATATTATTATAAATATTAAACAACGGCATTACTATTTAGGTTGAGTTCTCTTGTCACATGGTGCAACAAACAT